TTGTAGAATACGCAATTATTTTCTAAAAATAAAAAAAATTGCAAAATATAGACAATACCTAAGAAATATCCTTTATAACTTGTGTTTAATTTAGTTTCGTTATAGTTAAGAACAAAAGATCCAACAATGGGTGTGTTGGAATATACTTGCTCAACTCCCATTGCCATATAGTAATAGGTAGTACTGTTTACTTTTGTTACGATTCCTCCAAACATGTATCTTGGAACACCTTAAAGTTAAAATAGTTGGAATTTTAACTAAACATGAACTTTTAAAAAATGTCTGCATTATATTAAACAAAACTGGTAAAAAAAACAAAAAACATTGCTCTGTATATATGTATATACATAACAATGTTGTATATATATTGCCGAATGCCGACCCTAATTCTGAGCTATATATATATCTATCTATCTTTTATATATATATATATATATATATATATATATATATATATATATATATATATATATATATATATATATATATATATATATATATATATATATATATATATATATATATATATATATATATATATATATATATATATATATATATATATATATATATATATATATATATATATATATATATGTATATATATATGTATATATGTATATATATATATATATATATATATATATATATATATATATATATATATATATATATATATATATATATATATATATATATATATATATATATATATATGTATATATATATATTTAAACAATTTTAAAAATGTATTCTACAAAATAGAGTGTTCAATGTTCTTAAAAGAACAGAGCAATTATAAATTAGTAGAAAATCACTTAACTAAATTTTTTTTTCATTTTACACTGTGTTTCATCAACAAAGACTCATCAGAAATGAATGATCAAATTAATAAAACTTCAATTTATACCAAAAAATTAAATTACAAGAAGTCGCAAATGTTTTAACTATTGTAAATTTTCACACATTTGTGGAATTTGGCGACACTATTATAAAAAGAATTCTTTAGAAATGATTACTTATGCTTTTTATTATAAAAATATTTTTAAAAAAGGGGGGATTTAATGTAACTATTATTTGAGCTCACTTATTTTTATAGTTTTTTAGGAGAAACTTATTTTCGTGCCTGCATTTAGAAATCAATTCCGATTTTTTGTTTAACAAACATTCTTGGTTTGCGTGTGTAATTGTTTGAAATTTTTCTTGTAGGCATAGTTTGCGTTTTTTGGGAATATTATTGTATGCAGGCATTGTTTTAAGGATGGACCAATTCAGTATAAAATCATCAATATTTTTATCTTTTAATTCCCATATATATTTTGACAGCATGGTGTCTTTTGAATACTTTTTATTTTTAAAAGATTGCTTATGATTGGCAAAACATTTTTTCCATTCACCCTCTGTTATGTCAATATTAGGGATGTACCGAAGCTTCGGCTTCGGCTTCGGCGTGCCGAAGCTTCGGCAATTTTGCCGAAGCTTCAGTTCGGCCAAAGCCAGGTCAATTTTTTGCCGAATCTTTGGCTTCGGCAAAAAATTTTAAGTAATTAAAGTTAGAAGCTACTGTGGGACAAGTTATAAAAATAAGGTAATTGCCAGTGTCTAATAAAGTTATAAATTTAGGACTACAGAGTTAAAGTTGGAGTCTATACCATATACTTAGTATTATTTACTCCCAAGTGTCTTGTTATGGAGGGGATAATAATAAATAAGTAAAAATATTTTGAAAAAAATAATAAAATTAAAGAAGGTCCACATACACTTTGAAAGCTTCCAAGTGTGACTTTAGATGAACTGAAGCAGCATTTCTATGCAGAATAAAAACCTTAAAATTTAAAACAAACTAAAAGTTTTTAAAACTCTAATTTGTATTATGTATCGAATTCATATTTATTATTGTGTGGAATTACCGAAAATAGAACAAAATTTGGTTTCAACATTTGACCTATAAACCTTGGTAATCTCTCTTTAAAGAAGATTAAAGATATGTTGCTACTATTTTAAATTGTGTGTAAATTTACAAATTTTCATCGTAAATTTACAGAAATTGGTTAGGTGTCACTTATATAGATACAAAATAGTCAATGGAGTGACACATAAAAAACAAAAAGTTCTCAACAACAAAAAAGGAAGAAAAGCAAATGAAATATAAACGAGGAGAATAAAAACAGAAAAAAAAAAGTCAACAATAACTAGATAAATTAAAAGAAAAAGAAAAACAATGATATAACTAAATTGAATTTATATATTAAATATGTAAACCAATATTCTGGTTTCTTCTTATGATATTATGAAGACTTTTAAATTTTATTTAAAATAAATTAAAGGTTGAAGCTTTGATTACTTTGAGCTCTTATATTTATCATCAAAATTTATTTAAATTAAATAAACAATTTAAATCAAATAAATATCAGCCTGCTCAGTCCCTGTTTATTTATAAATATAAAGTAAATAATAATATAATTATAAATAAAAAATTTATAAAGTATTCTATTTATTATTTTATTTAATGCTCACTCTACAGAGTTGTTAGATTACTATGGAAGGTTTTATCACAGATAGTTAATATTTCGCAGGGTTAGAATTATTTTGTTCTATCTCCACATTTTTTTGTTTCGAGATAAAACGATTTAAAAAATAAAAACTTTAGGAGACGGCATATAAAAAGATTTTTATTACTTATGTTTTCTCCGAAACTTTTTTGATTTTAACTTAGGTTTTAATATAGTAGAAAAAAATTATTTTGAGGTGCATTACACAATTAATAACTCATTTTTTTCAAAAAGTGGAGATAGAACAAAATAATTCTAACCTCGCGATTTGATTTCAGATACTGATGCAGATTTATGTAAAAGATTTATGTATGTAAAAGATTAAAAAAAGCTATAGAAAATGTTATGTAGTGTAAAGTTAAAAATAATCAAAAAAAAAATACTTAAAAGTGTGTAAAAAAGAAGTTAGAGAGAAATCTATCATTTGTACTTTTTTTTAGCAGCAGGTTCACAACAGTTGTAGTGGAATCCAAAATGGTCTTAACTTGGGCTTTTTTTAGTTTAGATATTGTTCGTTTAAAGAATACAGAGAAGTAAAAAAAAAGGTATTGAAATAAATAGCAATAAAAAGATAAAGTGTGTTTCTGAGATTTTTTATGTTGTAAATACAACTAGATCAGCTAAGAGTGTTTATTTAAAGAAAGAGTGATCGAGTGCAAAAGATAAATTTACTCAAGTAATGTTCAGAGATTTTTATCCACTTCTGTTAACAAAAGGTGCATTAAAAATAGAAATAAAATATACAGCACATGAAAAGATGCTATATAACATTAATATGGTTTGCACACAGAAAAAGTAGAACTAGAAGTAGAAATATTTGGGGAAAATGTTTCAAAAAAGCTTAAGTTAAAAAAAAAACGCTCGGTGCGGTCAAGTATCAGAAACGACATAATGAGAAACTTTTAAACAGGGGTGCTGAGAGTATTTGCTCTGCCTGGAACAGCAACCCTGACTGGCGTCCTCATTTTTATACGATTTTTCTATATTATTAGTCAAGGACCTTAGTTTTGGTACCTTTTTTGTTTTACACCCCTGCTGATCTGAATGCTGATTAAATTTTAAGCATATATAGTGCCGAAGCTTCGGCTTCGGCCGAAGCTTCGGCTTCGGCAAAGTGGCTTCGGCCGAAGCTTCGGCTTCGGCAAAATTTCAGCTTCGGTACATCCCTAGTCAATATATTGTTTATCGGGTACATTTTTAGAGGAAACAACACATTTATATACCACATTTTTTGATAAATAACTTCCATTCATTGGACAATTGTTTTTTTGTTTACAATTACAATTTTCTGTGGCTTTTTCATTTAGGATTTCTCTTTTATTTAACAAAGCATTATTGTAACTTTTTATAATTCTTTCCATATTTTTTTTTAGAAGTCTTTAACCAGATCATCCACTGAAAGTGCATGGCTTAACATTGTTTTTCACCTAATAGATTTTAATTTCCTTGAATGTCATTTTTTTCATTTACAACTACAATATTCAAAATTTTGGAATATTTACCAAATAGCAAAATTTTATACACATTTTATTATATTACACTATTTCCATAGATTTTTATTGTTTTTCCATGAAACAGACAAATAATTTTAAAGAACAGACAAATATATTAACCTGATTTGGTCACAGGCTGAAACCCTGGATACCAACTTATTGTTTTTGATAAACTATCTAATGGCAAATCTAAAAAACAAAAAAATGATAGAAACATTAATATAATAGTCACAATATGAAATAGTTAAATAACATATCATAAAAATAAAAACAAAGTCATTGTTCAAGTCAATGTGCACTTAACAGAAACATTATTATGCAAAAAAAGTTTAAACACTTTAATTTTTTTAAATTCCTAATATATTTACGTAGTGCTGTCGACGTTATATTACTTTAGAACTAAGGCGCGGCTAACAAGATTGTGGGTTCGAATTCTTGTAAGGGTTCCTTTTTTTTAATTTGAATTTTTTATTTCAAAGCTGTTTTAAGTTTTTTAACTATTATTGGTGTTATTTATAGTTATTTTTATTTTTCAAAGTTTTATTGAAAAAGTACATCAGAGTTAATTTATAAACAAGCAACTCATATGTATAAATCATATGAGTTGATTTATGTACAAATGTACATAAATCAACTTGTAAGTTATTTATGTACACTTGTACATAAATAACTTACATATCTATAGTTGCAGTGGAGTGTACATACATTGACACACTTAAATACGGATAGGCACAGTGGAGTTTACATACATCAACTGACTTAAAGTGGCAAAATAGTTCAGCAGAAGTTCAGGTCAGGCCAAGATTATAATCATCATGGTCATCCTACTATTAGTAACATGTAATCTCGTATAAACTGTTGCATGTCCGAAAAAGCTAATTTACTTAAAATGCCTCCCCCCCCTCTCATTTTTAAGGTTCTGGTCAAGTAAATGCTAGAGATAGTGCCCTAATAAAAATACTCATCTTGGGCTGAAATTGCATCCAACTACAAAGACTTTAAAAGAAAAGCAGAAATTTTTTTTCGACTTGAAAAATATAGCATTTCACTTTCAAAAAATGTTGTTTTATTTTATGCGCGTTTTTGATTAATTCAATTTTTTTTTTAAATTATGAAGCTCGTTGTTTTATTTTGTTTTCAAATACTCGGTGATTTTAATATCTAAAAGTTTAAAGTTTTAGCTTAATACTATGGGGGAGTAATGTAATTTATTCAAACAACTATAAGGAGATTAAGGTAGTTTTTATTGTTTACAGAAAGATAAAACAAGAGATTATTAGCCATTTATTGAATATTTTAATGCTGTAAACAAGAAGTATTTTTACTTTCGAATAAAAGAGACATTTTTTTTGAATGAGAACACTAAATACAACTGTTTCAGCTGTTTTCATGACGCTGCCCTGTCACGTTTTATGTATTTTGGCGTTAGTTTTGCTTTGCTTGATACTTTGGTTAAAAAAAGATTTATAAAAAAATAATAAATTATATAAGAAATGCTTCAATTTTACTTTTTAAAAATATAAAGTCAAAAATCAGCAGAAAACACAAAAAATTGAAGTTTAAAAATGTAATTTTTTGTTTTTAAGAAATACAAATTGTTCAGATCTCTCCTTAATTACGCTGAGGACCAGCCTCACACCTCATCTTTATTTAACAGGTTGGCATAGATGAGAACCTGTGTTACACTGTTTCCTGTATAGGTTGATAAAGTCCTTGTTAATAGCATATATGCAATTCTAATTTTTATCTATTTATGAGGATACAGATCTAAAACTCAGTTTAATGTTTCTGATGGCAGCTAAATATAATAAATATAATTCCAAACTCTGTGGTAGCTCTTAAGTAAGAAGATTTCATCAACAGATGAAAAATATGAAAGAAGCCTATGTTAGTGCTTTAGGTGTGCATTGTTGAAGTTACATAATTAAACTGTTGTCACAACTTTGGATTGATTAGCAAGAATGAGACAATTGCTTATTGTTTAGGATATCATGCTCTATCTATAGTTGTTTTAAGTTCTTTACAAATTTAAAATATGAATAAAATAACTAAAGACAGTAAACAAAAAAAAGCTATCAATACCACTATATTTGTAATCTTCAAAGTAACTTTTAACCTGTTGAATCTTATCTATTTATGCTAAATTCAACAAATCATTTGTTTAAACTGAGAAATTCACCTGTTTCATCTTAAAAAGGTTAGTAACTTTTGGTTCATTAAGTATTTTGATTCGAAAAGACTGCAATTATCATATGCATAGTCTGGGCATATACTTATGTATCAATTCATATAATTCATGTATATGTTGTAAAATCAGGTTTGAAACCTTTAAACATTCATTTATTCATTTAAAATCTCTTTACTCATTTTCTTTTATCACTCTCTACTTATTAGAAACAATATTAGAAAAACGGCATTCTTCAAATTCAGTTTTTTTAATATTGTTTTAATCAAAATCAATCTCAATTTGAATGGAAACAATATCAAACTCTATCTTATTATCCTTCATTACTGTTATTGATGTCATCATACTGAATGGATCTAGTAATACTGACACTGCTGGCTCTAACTCAACTTAAAATCAGAAGAATCTAATTAGTAATTTAATTTGTAGTTATCAATAACTTAATTTGTAGTGCACATCAGTACACTACTAACTTATGGCTAACTGAGATTTTTTTTCACAATTTTCTTTGTGATGGTCTTGGAGCTGAACTTATTTATCATTTTGATAGAATTTGTGCTGCCTTTATAATCTCCTAAATTCAGAAAGGCATGGAAGCTCTAACTGTTTTGTGTCAGTTAAATGAAGTCTCATTCTTATTGGTTTAACCGGACATGTTATGTGATATACTGGTTTAACTTTGATATTTTTTTTTATGTTTCTTTAGTGCAGTTTATATTTATAATAATTTCTTTTAACTCCATTTTACTTTTAACTATCATTTTACCTTTTTGACAAAAACAACTCTTTCACAAGAAATCAGAGCAAAATAAATATAATATCTGCCTCAACACAAAGGGTAAATGGATGAAAAATGTAAATTTTATTCTAGAGGGAAATATTTTTTAACGTTTTTTATATTTTATGAGATGTCTTTAATAAAATATTACAATCTTTAATAAATGACAAATGGTTGTGAAATAACAAGTGCAGTGTTATAAATATGGAATTTTATGATGTGATAGAAACCATTAATAAATTTAATAATAAGGTAGACATAGTCAAACTTGACATACATACTTTACTTATATTCTACTTTTTGATACTAAGGTCAATCATTCTCCTATTTTATCTCAGAAGTTAGGTTTAAGAGACATTTGAAAACTTTAACAATGTCATTAACAAAAGCAACTTCAAAAAAATGTAGCAGAGCAAAATGTCATAAAAACATGTCATAAGGAAAATTATGAACACCGCATTAGTAAATGTGGTGTTCATAACTTTCCTTAATCTTTAAGCAAAAAAATCAATATAAATTTTACTAATCTTTTTTATTTTGTGTTTGAGATTTTTATATAAATAACCACAAACATAAAAAAACAAATTATTTATACATAAAAAAAACAGATTATTTTGACTTGGTATTTTTAAATTCTTTCATTACTTATTATTAATTTGATTAATTTGTTTTATTATTCATTATGTTTTGTAGCTAATAATGAACATGATAGATAACTTGATATTTAGGAATTTAGTATTTCACACAAAAAAATTACACTGAAAGTAACTAAAAAAAAAATGCATATTACAGACGATATTCTAAAGAAATTTGCAATTTATGTAATGAAATGTTTCATTATAACAATTCTTACAGGCAAATATCTATTTTAACAGACAGTATTCAATTGGTTGATGAAGTATAATATATATTTTCATTACAAAGAAATATATATTATTACTTTGCAGCAATGAAAAATATTCTTTGATTTTAAGGAATTTTTTTATATACCAAAAATAAAATTTATTAAATTCTTATTTATTAGTTTATTTATTATAAATTTATTAAATTCGAACATTAATCTAGATGTCATAAAAATGACCCTTCAACTTTTGTTAAAAATATTGTTTATACAATATATTAGTTGATAAACAGCAATAAATAGCAAATAAAGAGATTTGATAAAGCATTAAGTTATATTTGAATACCTGACATTGCAAGCATTACATAACTATCAAAATTTATTGCAGTTTTATTTGAAAAATGGTTCAACAATGTATTCGGTGATGAAACAACTACTTTAGCCCACTTTCCATCAGTAAATAATTGAGAGTAATCACTCATTCCAACACAAAAGTATGGATATATTTTCCTATAATAGTTTATAGATTTATATCCATCAACATCATCAATAAGTGCGTCAGTATTTAATGTTTCATTACTACTCCAAATAGATCCTAAATAGCTCCAATTCTAAATTAAAAAGAATATGTTATAAACTTATAAAAGATTTACCACAATACTTTACTTTTAATCTTAAAATAAATACTTAAAATATTCCATAAATACAAGATTAATCGCAATAAAACTAGCAAACTTAATAATAGTGTTCCTAAATGTAACATTACTCGTTACTATTACTCATTAATATTATGATACAAATGTTTTTCTTTTTTTTTTTTTTTACAAAATATAACCATGTAAATAACAGCAGCTGACAGATAACAACTGTATCAAATAGATTTTTATACACATAATCTTAAGTTTAAAAATATTTATGGCAGCTAAATTATTTATTTCGCTCATTTATTTGGTTGATCTGTTAGCGCTATTTGTCGCGCCCAGAAGTTTACAGGCCTGTTTCACGTGTCAGGAGCGATCGCTCCTAATTCATCACAAGGCCTGAATATATATAGTGGGTCATTCCATATAGTCGGGGTCATGACATTTTTACTGCAAAAGGTGAAAATATAAGCAAGAAACTTTGTAAACTTTTTTTTTTTGGTAATGTGTACATTTGGTCACGTACTACTATCTGAAAAAATTACAGTAAATTTTATGCTATAGTTGCATCGCTATGTCCTAATAAAATCAGTCACGGTCGTGACAGCTACAAAAACAGAAACAGAACATGTTTAAGTAATTTTGTTTTTTTGTAGAAAACATTCAACAAATTAAAAATTTAATCTTTTTAATTATTTTTATAGGATGTTATAATAACTATAATACATTTTTTTTATTTTTTATTGTTTATATTTTACATAAAATAGTATCTAGCAAAAAGTCGCGGTCGTGACATCGCAGTCGTTACAAAATATTGTACAACCAGATAACATTATATTTAAGGTATTTTTAATGTATATTTTAGCATTGCTAAAGTTTTTAAAAATATATAAACAATCTAAACAATTTTTATAGTTATCCTTAGAAAAATAAAAGAAACATCAACAAGTTTTTAATAAAAAAACGTAACAAATTACTTTATCAAATTGCAATATTGAAGATATATTTAAATAAACTAAACAATTCAATATAATAATTAATGATTGTTTTGTTTGCTGTGTTATTCGTCTGATAGTGGTGATATTTTTTTAATGCTGAAAATTTTGTTCTTAACTTTCCAGTAATGGTAAAGTCATATATCTTCAACTATTTCTGCTAGCAGTAAAGTATCGCTTAGCTGACTATAATGTTGATCAATTTCATCTTCAGTCAAATATATTAAACTTACTGCCTAATCTTTGCATATAGCTTCATAAAATTACCACGCATTTTGAATAATAACTTGTCTTGCTTTAACCTTTTGCCGTGCTAACCTTTTTAAGGTTCCTCCTACGCCATCAATGGCTTCGTTTCCGTGGGCTGTAGTAAAAAAATTCCACTTGAAAGTTGGAATATTAAATTTCACTTGACAATACTTCAGGAATTTTACCATGTAGCGGTTTTTAAATTGAGATGATGGACCACCATTCCACAACGTTACTTTGTGTATAACTGAATTGGTTACATAAGCCTTTAAAAAATATATTACAAATGTTATGCATCCCTCAAAGATAAAAATAAAAAATGTGTAAAAATTGAACTGTTTAAGTTCAATTTTTGAAAATGAAAAATACCTTTAAAATTAATTCAAGGAAAACACTGACACATGTTTTGCTGTGATCATTTTTATCTGTTAAATAAGTAACCATTTTTTTTAATCTTTATCATAAACAGCAACAGTGAAGATTGTTATTTGAGATTGACTCCAATAAGCACTTTTGTGGAGTGCAGCAATAGTTTTGGCTAAAATCAAAGTGTATTAATAATTCACTATCCATAATATTATCTATTTGGTGGCAAAAAACAGACACTTGGTGACGCTTTATTAAATGGTGAATCCGAAATTGAGGTAGCATTTTCAAAAACTCTGTATATGTTGCATACAAAGACTGTTTAATCAATCCCTGCTGTAGATGATTTGTAACCTTGTCGACGATTTGTAACCTTGACGATTTGTAACCTTGTACCAATTTATGTAACTGACTTCAATGCATTCTTTGTTTTGCTCTTTGAATGGTAGTAGCATTCTGTTGTTAGGACAGTTAGCACAAACACTATATGATAGTAAGAGGCAATCTGGAGTGAGATGGCTTCAAAGAATCCATTTGTTTACCCAGTTTGTGTTGTAAGGTTCAAAATTAAAGTTTGAAGATAAAGCATTGCATATATTCATAAAACTTTCATGAATTAGACAACAGCAGGTTTCAAGAGGCGTCTCTGAATATGTGAGTATTTGAGCTTGACGAAGTACACAAAATTTTGGAAATTTTATCTTGCTTCAAAATTCCATCAAGATATTTCTTCGCAGTTGTAAAATTCTAGTACATGATTGAATACAGAAGATAAACAGATGCACTTTTTTATCTTTGATATATCTGGTAAAGAGATGTTCATTTCTATTGCTAACTGTTTCTTGACATAATCTACTTGTGGCGACTTTGGTCAAGCCAATTTAATGAATATGTCAAATAAGTTATATTTTAAATTAGTTCATAACCTTTAAATACAAATATATATCAATTGTTTAAATTACTCTTTATAACATGTGTTTTTATTAAGGTTTTTCAAACAAAATCTTCTTCCTTGCATTTAAACATCAAAACATCCGTTACACCACGTTAGACAAGGATATTGATTTTTTTTTTTTTACATATATATTCATTTCAACTAAAATGCTTCTGCTTAATATTTTCTAATTTAAAAAAATTAAATTTAGGTTGTATGAAAAAACTAAATTTGTTATAATAGTCGCAGTCGTGACAGTGAAAAATGCCTTTTCTTTTTAGTAACATAGCAACTAATAATTGAGATAATATTAATATCACTTATTAGCAAACTTATTTAATCACTAATGTTTATCCTGAGAATTAAAAATTAAAAAAAAATTTAAAAAGTTTAACACAACTCCATGTTTAGAAATTCATGTTTTTTACATCATAAAATATTAAAAATGGCTTCCAAATTTTAGAAATCTCCTACACGCATAAAAATAAATGACGAAGTGAAGATATTTTTTTAGATGCACTAATGTGTCTGTTAATTTATCTTTTAAAAATATTTTTCTAATATTCAGTTTAAATATTTTTGAATTTTGGCATTCTTATATGGAATGACACAGTATTAATGATTATCAGTAAATCTGTTTTCATAGTAAAATGTCAGTCAATTAATTTAATAAGAATATTGGTGAATATATTTAACAGTTTTGGTTAACTAAATAATTAGTTTAATTAATTATTTGATTATTTAATTATGATTGTTTAATTAGAATAACTGACAAAATGTCAAGACATTGAATATGTCAAGACATATTCAATTTTCTAGTGAAAAGGATCATTTTAAGAACATATATTGTCACTGCAATTCACCTTGCTTTATAAAAAAATCATGGGATCCTGAAACCCAAGTCATTTTCAGCTTACTGCAATAACACTTAGCCAAATTCTCTTTCTATTCGGATATACATCCTGTCTTATTTCTCTAATAAATGCTATAGTATTAAAAGATATATCGATGATATTCTTATGAACCCTAAACCAATCAACTTTCTGTAACTATAAGAAGATAGCTGCTTCTTACCAATGTTTTTTAAGCCACAGGAGTGCCAAGCAAAAAAAGCCTTTCAAAAAAATCTCACTAAAATTGCTAGAAGGAACAGAAATGCCAGATAACTCTCAAAATTTTACAACTCACTGGAACTATTGTTTTCTATGCTGCCTATCTAGTTTTAACACTTCTAACTTCTAGGATTTTTACAGGTACTCTTAAATATTATAAATAGTAGATAGAGATTTGAAAATTTATGAAGCATCATGGCCAAAGTTCTTTGCAGTAGCTATAAATAAAGAACTTACTTTGAATAGAGAGCTGTTCTCAATCCTCAGTAGAAATTAGTGTTTGATCAAGAGGTTTTACTTTAAGGTTAGGGCGTGTTTTTTTCATTGCAGGTGGTGAAAGTGTAACCACTTCGTTGCCAAATGCTACCAATGCTGATGGAGATAAGCCATCAAAATGTTTTTGATTGATTTTATTGATATCTTTGTAATATTTGTTATTGTATGATTCAATTTTATATTCTTTTGTACAACTTATTTTTGTTCAAGGCAAAAACCTTGTCTGCTCCATTAACTCTGCAATTTTATATTTGTTTTATCTGTATCTCTTCATTTCTCTTTGTAATTTTGGTATTCTGTGTACAGCATCTGTATACCAGCATATATCTTCCTTTTTAACATGAATTGTAACAGCTTTCCTTGCCTTCCTTTTCAAATGCTGCTAAAGCATTTGAAAGAGTTTCCTTCATTTCTTTTTTATAATAAACACTAAAAGTACTTGATTTTGTATGTAATGCATATATGAAGATTAGAGATATCAACTTGCATGTATGAGTAAAAAGATTTTTTTTTTTTCTTTCTTTTTGTAGTCAATTATTAGTTGAACATATTTAAAAAATATAATTTTTAAACATAAGTAATTAAGAAAATAATTATAGAAGAGTGTAATAAAGTTCAAATGCATCAAAATAATTTTAATGAAAATATATTATTACAGGATATGTTCCAAATGTTTTTTATACTACAATCGCCATTTTTTTTGTAAAGATTTTAATCATCTTGATTGATACATTTTTCAGCCACTTTTCATTATGTTGAGGATTTTGTTATCAGTTTTTTGTGTTTTGGCAAGTTAATACTTAATAGGGTGTCCCAAAAAACAACATTTTTGAAAAATATATCCTGCTACCCTCTTAATGTGTTCTATATGATAAATAAAACACTGGTTTTAAAAAATTTTTGAATTAAAAATATTTTTAGGGGTCCCCCAAGAATATTATATAAACTATATTATATAAAAACACTAATATTTAATCCAGATTCATAAATTCAAGATTTTCATTTGGGTACAAATCAGGTAAGATATATATAATTATAAGAGAGAGAGAGAATTTTTTACAAATGCAAAATCTAGAAATATTCATATGAGAAATTTTTTGCGAACAAATATTACTAACACACGACTTACTGTATTTGACATAGGTTGCAAAAGAAAGTCATAAACTCCACTGGGACATCCTAAAAATATAAAATAATTTTACACTTTACAAATTAGGATTGTTACAATATTATTAATTCCATGAACTCCAACTGAAAAATAATCACTACCTGTGTTTAAGAAAAAAATTCTTAACTTTTTTGCAATTTATACAAGTAATTTATTATTTCATTAATTCATTGAATTAATTCATTGAAGTTACAATTCAGACAATAATACTTTTTTTTTTTTTTCACATTAATGTCTACTTGTTTATTAAGATTTTTTATTTACTTACCACAGAGAAGAGAAACTGCTATGATGGCAAGAATACTCTTCATTTTGAGATTAAAAGAATTAAATACAATAAAATATAGTAATATAAAGATCCAAAACTTAGTTATAAATATGTACCTATTACTGCAGATTAAGGTAATTACAGTATAAAGCATTACTGATGTCACAATCAAATATGTTTAACTTATGTCATAATTAAAATTCAGGTATAAATATATAAGGATTACACTGCTACTTGCAACAAGTAATCCAGTACAACCTGCCACATGAACTTCTATTCCCTAGAGCATGCTTTTTCAGTCAAAAAGCCATGAGAATTTAACTCTAAATTAAAATACTCTTAATACTACTTATTCAGCAAAGTGGTAACAAAGAAATAGAGAGGTAAACAAAGAAATTCTGCTGATCTTGCAAACCTGTGTAACATTGTTTCCTGCCTAGAATAGATCTTTTAACTCTACTTTTATCTTCATTTTGTGCACCTCTAAACGACTCAACATCATCACAAGAATAAAAAAAGTTTATTTGATTTGATTGATTTTTTTAATTGTTATTATTGATTGTTTTTTATTTATTATTATTGATTGCTTATTGTTTTTTTAATAAAGTGTTGTTTTAATTTACTTAAAAAAACTTTTTTTTAATCAAATAAAGTTTCATAAAAAACTTTACAAAAAATTCAATGCCTGTTGCAACTATTTCTATCTGGTTGAAAGATTTTTGAAAGATTTGAAAGAAAATATATTTGATAAGATTTTTAAAAGATATTTTTGTCTGGTTGAAAGACTAACTCTGTAATAACTCTTTAGGCACTCATAACACAGCATTTATAATAATAGGCATTCATGCTGCATAAGCATGGTGTCACTTTCAATACTTTTAGTTGTCAAGGTCACAAAAGAAGCCTATTGTTATCACTAAAAGTTTATTTATTAACAAGAATGTGGCAATTGTATAGATTATTAATACTAGAGTATGTTAGTATGTTTAAATGAAAAACTTGTTTTATATTGATAAACAAGCTATATAAATATATATATATATATATATATATATATATATATATATATATATATATATATATATATATATATATATATATATATATATATATATATATATATATATATATATATATATATATATGTATATGAATATATATTTATGTATATATATATGTATATATATACATACACATATGTATATATATATATATATATATATATACATATATATATATATACTCAATATACTCAATCCATATGTAAGGACGCAATTTCCTAATATTATTTTTGCACTCTTATAGTAAAAAAGTGCGCTTTAATATTTCAGAAAAAGAAGGAAAAAACAAAGAATGATGAAAGAAAAGATTGCTACCCTATGGTGAATCCTCAGTCGATGTAGCATCACTCCTTTGTGGGTCAGGTTATTTGATAATTGATGTATGTACTGAAACCTCCGCAACTTCCTGTTTCTTTATGATGTCATCCATGTGCATCTAATGCTGCATATATATATATATATATATATATATATATATATATATATATATATATATATATATATATATATATATATATATATATATATATATATATATATATATATATATATACATATATATATATATATATATATATATATATATATATATATATATATATATATATATATATATATATATATATATATATATATATATATACACATATATCAGCAAATATGAAAATCAATTCAGTCTAATTATTATATTAGTTACTATTCTACTATTTCAACCATCAGAACAGAAAGGGAACCATAATAATTGATAATAACGATAACTAACAGTAATAACTGATAACAACAGAATAACAGGTCTTATCAGATCCTAAATGGATGCAGTAAAACAAAGACCAATGCTCTTTATATATCAAATAAAAGCTATATTTTTGTGAGCTAAAACTTAAACCACAGTTATTGTTTAAATTGTTTTAAACGCACCGCATTACAGTACAATAAAATGTTATAAGGCTCTTAAACTTTTTAAGATGTGGTTTAAATTGAGTAAATGTTTCTGCATTAAAACATTTCCTAATTTATCAATCAAAACATCTTTCCATCAATCATTATTGTCTCAACATAAGTCATAAGATAAATTTTAAAAAAATTTTGGGACATTATTAATTTGATAAATTTATTAACTTGATCGTTTTTATCTTGATTCACAACAGCACCTGCTTCCGCATTTTAATAATTTTCCTTGTCTCACAGATACTCATCATTATGTTAATTGTCTCATAAATAAGTTAAAATAATCTTTCCATAAAACTCGTCTTTCTCATTTGGCAGGTTTGTTTTTGTATTGTTTTTGGATCTAGTACCTTTTGTATCCATGCTTTTGTTTCACTTCTTTCAGAGGTGTGATTAGCCTAGGGAGATCAATTAAACTTTTCATGTTTGGGTTTACATGAATTGGTTTAGAATGCTTGAAGCTTTTTTCCCACTATAGCAAAAATGCTTTCTAAATGAAAAAAATTGTCATATCCTCATAAAAACATTTGCATTACTATTTAAACTTTTTTTTGAACAAGCATGCTTTAAAGGGATTCTCAAGTTCTTTAAAGGGATTACTTTAAAATTCTTCACTTTTAATTCTTTACTTCAATTCATACTTTAAAGGGAATTCCAAGTGTGGATACATATTGTGAAATTAACGTTAACAAAAATTAAACTTATCTCAGCAAATTGTTAATTTATTAACAAAAAACTTTATTTATAATGCCATATTGTTTTTTTCAAAATAAAATTCTGCCTTGTTGATTTACTAGCTTTTAAATTTAGTCTGATTAACAAGCTAATGTTAATATTTGACAACAATACAAAAAAAAATTTTAAATAATTTAAAACTAAATTATAAAATGTTACATTTAGGTTTAAAATACTCTTTTCAAGCGTTTTGAGAGCTGTATTTTTTTTAATAGGGAAGGCTTTAATATAATATAGCATTTATATAATTAATATAATAATATATAAGGGAAAAGTAATAACCAAATGCAAGCAGCACCAAAAAAAACCCAACCCTCAAATAGACAATTTTTTATCTAATCGTTTACTTTTCCACACTATTGATTCTTTTTTTTTTTAAATTTTTTTGATAGACTCCAAAATTGAAATGATTAACAACCCTTTTCAAAGTTTGTTTATTTTTTATTAGTGATTATTAATAAGAATTATTTTTGAGACCAAAAAACTTGCTGGTGAAACCTGACATTTACTATTTTCTTATATTTCGCAAAAACTGACAATTAGCATTTTTTTAATTAAAAGACAATTACTTTTTCGAAGCCATAAGCGGATACAATTGTATTGTTTCATGTATCTATTCATATTTTCATCTTCAATTTTTAATGAGGTTCAATTTGGCACAGAGTTACCAACATTTTAATAGTTAAGTTATGAAAATCCAAAGTTTACTGAGTAAATAATAATATAGCAAGATTAAATCAACATAATTGTCAATATTTTATAATAAAAATTCAACTCTTCATCAAATATCCCTAAATAAATGTCTTTTATTGAAAGTAATTATTAACAAATACATTATTTAGATACAAGAAAAAAAAATGCCATAGCAATAAACAGATCAAAATTTAAAACAAATTTAATATTGTAACAATAAGTAACTATTTAATGTCTTCTTTTAACTCACTACAATTTATTTTGCAAATTTTCCTTAATTAAAGTGGATAAACATCATAAAAACCAGAAAAATTTAATATTAATCCCAAAAACTGCTGAAAAAATAAAAACAGTACAAATGGAATATAAATTTGATGTACTATTGACTATTTATCAATTTACGTGTTCAACTATATTGCTGATATTGAATCATTTTGTGCTATCACTTTTTGATATTGTGAAGCTAACATCAGTTAGCTTTATATAAATTGTTATTGGATGAATCTATTAATGAGTTTTTGCAGGTCATGTCATATTAAAGAGTTTTTGCAGGTCATATTAATGATTTTTTGCAGGTCACTTTTAGAAAAGATCACAATTTTAAACAAATTATTGTTTCAGAAAATTGTAAGGAATACCCTATGACTCGTTCATAGGAGGTCTAAACTCGCATAACATTGGCCATCAACTACTAGTAAACTCTACTTTTAAATTTACTGAAGATTATAATCACTGAAAACACTAACAGAATTCTTAGCATGATTGTTAAACTGCTAAAAAATAATTTAGCAATCGTGCTAAGTATGAACAATTCAAGTCCATCCTTGTGAAATTTAACTAATTTTACTTCAATATTAAGAACTCAAATCAAAAATTTATATCACTCACCAATAAATAAAAAAAGCAACTTTATTAACACCTTCTTAGTTTTGTTACAAAAAATGAACTTTTTTACAGATATGGATAAAAGCCTATATTTGAAATGCCTACTCCAAATGATGATCCTCCATTAAGCATTTCATTAAGTACTCTCCATTTAGTACTTGGCATGTTCTTGTACTATTCTCAAAAAAAAAAAAAAAAATTTAAAGAAATATCATCTTTTATCTCAAAAACATTTCAACTGCCTGCTGAAGCTATAAAGCATTTCAATTAAATGAAAGAATTCTTAAAAGACCTTAAAATCAGCTCAACAACCAACTGACAAAAAAAAAAACAAAGTTGAAACAGATGCTTCTGATTGTGCCCTAACTGCTTTTCTCAATCAGGCTGGAAGACTGGTTGCATTCTTTTAATGCACAATTTTCTTTACCAAAAAGAAGTATTCTTTTTTCTGAAAAGTTAATAAAAGAGTATTCGCAAACAGTTAATGTATTACAGTTACTGATTCTATTTGTATTTCATAGATTTTTTTTTTTTTTTTTTTTATTTGCATTCACTCCCAACAAGGCTGCAAGCAACCACTATTAAGTTGGGAGTTACTAGGAAAAAAAAAGAACAGAGTTATAGAGCAAGGAAACGGTTGACAGAAGACTTGAAAAGTTGAAGGTTGTATGAGTCAAGAAAACATGAAGATGGGAGAGAGTTCCAAAGGATTGAAGTGCGAGGAAAAAAACTAGATGAATAAAAGTTTTTAGAGCATGCAGGGACAGATACAGTAAACGAATAAGACTTAGCTGAATGACGAGTAAAACAAGAATGAATTCTAGTTGATGGAACTAGAGATGATAACTCCTTTGAGCAGTGACCATGATAGTATTTGTAGAAAAGAGAAAGAGATGCAACTTTACAACGATGGGAAAGAGATTCAAGCTTAGCAGATAGTCCAGGTCCAACAACATTTACAATGCGTTTTTGGACCTTGTCAAGAAGAGAAAGTGAATCGTTAGAAGAACCAGCCCAAATATGACAACAGTATTCCATACAGGGACGAATAAGAGATTTGTAGAGGTAGAGAATGGAATCAGAAGTAAGGAAATGGCGAGCACGATAAAAAGAAGCAACCTTAGCAGAAGCTAATTTAGCAATCGATTGTATATATGGTTTCCATGAAAGGTCAGTAGTAAGCGATAATCCAAGAAGACGTAAAGAGGATGACTCAGTAAGAGGATTGCCATTCATTAATATAGGAATGTTGACCATAATACGGTAGTTGTTTGCAGTAAGCAATTGGGTTTTTTTAGAGTTGAAATTCACAAGCCACTGTGAACCCCAATCTATTACTGAAGTGAGATCAGATTCAAGATCAGCTGCTTGTTCTAGGCGATCGAAAAGAGAAGACTTTTTGTCAAGACAGGAGTATAAAGTTGAGTCATCAGCAAAAAAAGCTACTTTAGATGAAAGGTTGTCAGGAAGATCGTTTATGTAGATAAGAAACAAAACAGGGCCCAGGATGGAACCTCGGGGAACCCCAGAAGTTACTGGAAATAAAGAAGAGTGTTGGCCTTCAAGGATGACTTTAATAAACCGGTTAGAAAGAAATGATTTGATAATCTCAAAAACTTTCCCAGAAACACCATATGAAGCAAGCTTATAGAGAAGACCAGCATGCCAAACTTTGTCGAAAGCTTTAGATATGCTGAGAGCAATACCCCTAGCCTAACCGCCTCCATCTAATGCACGATAAAATCTTTCAGTTACAGCAGTTAGCAAGTCGGCCGTAGAGCGAGAGGATTGAAAACCGTATTGCTACTAATACTATTAAACAGCTACTAATACTATTTATACTTAAACCACAATGAAGGCGTAATAACCAAACTAATTGTAACAAAATTATCTTGAAAAATCTATATCAAGAAATATCTCCTAAAATAATTGTATAGAGTCATATCAATTAAGATAAAGTTATAATGTATATTTATAAAACAAAAGTTTATACTAATTAGTTTTTTATTCATTCACACATCCAAATTTTGATAGCAGAGGGTATTGAATGATATTAAATCATATTATTCTTAAACTTTCATTTTATAAAAGACAATAGCATTTTATAAAATCTAACACAATAATGGTGATAAAATAATGAAAAGTCTTCAAAAACATTACCTTTCAGCAATATTAAAATAAAACAAAATGTTTGTAAGCAAAAACATAATTAAATATTTCTCTGCCCATAGAGGAAGAAAAAAAACGAGAAAAATAAAAAACAATCATTAAAAGAAAAAGTATCAAATCAAAAGATAAACAAAATAAAAATGAAATAATTCTTTATAAAATGAAATAAAGAGTAACTCTTTTTAAAAAAAACTATTGTAATTATTCAATGATAATATACCAAGTAGATTTTTTTTTTTAAAGAAATTTGAAGATCAGCAACATTTAATGACAGAGTTCTTGCATCAGTAAAAACAATGGAAAATGAAAGCATCTAAGAAAATAGCAATGGTAGCTGTACAAAAATCAATCAAATACCAGAAGTTATCAAATTATGAGAAATTGACAGAAGTTATCAAATTGTGATCCCATGAAGAGCACCAAAAATAATTTTAGAACAGAATATGAATTTTAACGCAGTCATGGTACAGTGGTCAGAGTTCAGAACCCAGACCTCAGAACCCTACAATCAAAGTTCGATGCCAGCTCTAGCATAAAAACTTAATGAAACATTTAAAAATACTTTTTTTTTTTTTTTTAATTAAAAGTGCTTTTTTTTTATTTTCAAATATAATTTTTATACCAAAAGTAACCCAGGTGTACAGTACCTCAATATAAACATTTTATAAAATGACTAATTTTTCAAAGATTTTTGCAAAATTGGTCCAGTTTTAAAAATTCAGAATTCAGTTGCAGTGTCTCAGAAAGTTATAAAAGTTGACATTTTAGACAAAATGTGATGATTTGAATGCATATACAGAATAGAAGATTTAAATAATTTGTGGAAAACAAAATCAAATAAATTTATACTATAACAAACCAATTGGATATATAAAAATAACCAAAGAAGAAAAAAAAAGATAAAACCTTGCTGATAATTATAACTACAAACTTAGGTTGTTAAATTTATGATTTATAATTTATGACTTTTGCTATAAGGTTACTTTTTTACAAACTAGATGTAACTCTGTTTTACAATCAACAATGCTGTGTATTCAAACATAAACCATTTATGCTTATATTTCTATATATTATACCTAAAATTCTAAAATTCTATAGAAAAAATATTAAAATATCAATCTTACAATCCTTAAATTTGATTATGGTTTTTTAACTGCTGCATTGTTTATCACTTGATAGCAAAATCAACTCTGATAATCTTTAAATAAACAGTAGTGATGTCTGAACTTTGGTGGATGATGTCTGAACCTGTTTCTAATAATGTCCTAGTTAATTTATATGATGTCAGAACAAATTCTGATGATATCATATTTAGTTTGTTTGATGTCTGAAAAATAACTTGTGTCATTGCGACGTATTTGCAACAACTGTTATCTGAACAAATTTGATCCCTGGTATGACCAGCCGAAAAAAAAATTTTAATGGTTGCAAAAAAAAAAAATTAAATGGTTGCGAAAAAAAAATTTTAATGGTTGTAACAAAAAAAAAAAAAAAAAAAGTATTAAGTATGAAACATTAAAAAAAAATTGAAAAAACTCAAATAACAAGAAATAATGAATTATCAATTAATTTACCTGTATCATTTTTTGTTGTATTTGTCTTACTTAAAGCATTTGGTCCAGTTAATACATAACGAGGAAAAAGTTTGCAATTGTTTATTTGAATCAATACTATGTACACACTGTCACTTTTCAAATATGAATAAACTCCTGGAATAATTAACCCATTGTCACCTTTTTTGAATTTAAGTACTGTAAAATTTCCTTCGTTGGATAATTTATAGGAAACAATAACTTGACTAAATCGAGTGCCAATACTTAAAAAGCGCCAAAAAATTCCCAATTGTAAATTTGATGATAATTTAATGCTAAGCAAATTGTTCTGGTTAAACTCATCATTGTCATTACTGAAGCAAGCTTAAAATATAAAACAATTAACATATTTTTACAAATAATTTTTTAAAAATAATTAACATAATTAGTTATAAAAATTGTAGTTTTTAAATAAAATTCTTACTGATTTAGAAATGAAAAACAAAAAAGTCAAACTTTTAAAGATAATCTTACCAGAATTTGTATATAATATTTTGATAAGAAGTATTCCAATTAGATATACTATATTTCTAACGAAACACCTATTGTTGATACATGACTGTAAAAAATATTTAAAAAGTTATAACAAGGTAAGTTATAATAAAAAAAAGTAAAAAAAAATTATTATATAAATTTTTTTTATTTTGCTCAAATGCACAACTTTGTGCATTTGATTATAATATAATCAAATGCACAAAGTTGTGTATTTGAACAAAATAAAAAAAAATATATATCATAATTTATATATATATATATATATATATATATATATATATATATATATATATATATATATATATATATATGTATATACATATATATATATATATATATATATATATATATATATATATATATATATATATATATATATATATATATATATATATATATATATATATGTATATATATATATATATGTATATACATATATATATATATATATATATATATATATATATATATATATATATACACACAAGAATAAATTTTAGTAGATAGCACAAGAGACGCAAGCTCTTTAGAGCAGCGTTCATCATAGAATTTATAGAAAAGAGAAAGAGAAGCAACATTACGACAATGTGACAATTGTTGAAGGTTGGCTGCATAAGCAGTCCAACTATGTTTACAATGCCTTTTTGTACCTTGTCTAAAAGAGAAAGGTCATCATTCAAAGATCTGCTCCAGATACAACTACAGTATTTCATACAAGGATGGACTAGAGATTATATTATAAGGATGGACTAGAGATAAAAAAATAGAACCACAATAAAGAGATGCATTGCAAGAAAGCAATGGATTTGATATATGGTTTCTAAGAAAGATTAAAAATCAAAGTTAACCCTAGAAGACGAAGTTAAGAGAACTCATCGAGTACATTACCATTTATAAATATAGGAAGATCTATATTGTTGCAATAAAGATTAGCTGAAAAAAATTGAGTTTCACCTGAGTTAAAGTTTACTAGCTACTGAGAGCCCAATGCCGTAGCAGAAGTGAGATCCTTTTCAACCTTAAAGATACAGTGAATAAAAACAAGTAGATAAAATAATAAAAAATACACTTGAATATAAAAGGTGTTATAAATTTAACTCAACTCTCTATTTAAATATCAATAGAGACAACAAAGAACCTGTCAGAGTTCATAAAAAAGATTTTATGAGGTTCTTACTGTTCTGCAACAATAACAATGCAGAGTTTTGTTGCTTACAAATAACAACATTAAGTGAGTGGGCTCTATATTTCACAAATGGTTTGCAACTTTTCCATGGTGGTTTAATTAAAATTAAAGCAAGTCTATTATTATATGCAACACATAATAAAATGTGATTTTTTGCAAGATACAATATCATATAACGCATAAATAGGACTGCAAAAGACATACTACAAAATGATCTTTTTTGCATTAATGTTGTACTAAACTTTTCATGAATGAGCTTAGTCATTGCATATAGAAGTGTATTTATTTTAGAATATCTGTGTCATCTTGCATATCATGGCACGCAGAGACTTCATGATGCCCAGGGTAGATCATTAAAAATTTACTTAATGACCATTTAAAAAGACCACTTACCATTAAAATTGACCACTCACCATTAAAATAAAAATGACAATGTTAATAAACTACTTCTAGTACTCACAAATTATTTTAAAACTTTTGTATTTAAGACTTTTTATGGATCAAACAATTTCATACAAGGAAATAAAAAAAAAATTTATTTGGTATGAAGTTTGGACCAAACACTTAACAAGCTTTTCTAGTAGCAAGTTGAAAGTAACAACTTCATAGTAAACTTTTTTTTGCCAGATCAGCTTTAATTTAAAAGTAAGAAAGATGCATATCTGAGAAAAATTTATTTCAAAAACCCTTAACATAAATGCTATTCACCAGATCTAAGGCTCATTACTAAGGGAAAATTACTGAACAAACACTGATGTATAGATTCCTACAGTGTAGGAAATACAGTGTAGGATAACATTTTTTTTGTGTGTTCTGTTAGTGTAGGCTACATTTTTAAACCTTTTTATTAGACATAACTCCGACTGATAATATTTTTCTGGAATTTTTTTCATTATTTTATGATATTCCATAAATGCGTTGCCAGTTGCTTTTTCTTAAGGGTTCATAGCTTTTAAAGAACATTCTGACTTGTTATTGCTCCAAATTTTATCATGCTTCAAAGCATAACTAGAGCATGTGTAAATTAAGTTCTAGGAACCTTTGGCTGAGGGTAGGTACAATCGGCAGAGCAGAGCAGATTGGCAGAGCAGATCATTAAAATGTTAATAACGGCAGAGCAGATTATTCCATCAGCCGTTTCCTAATGGGTGATCTGCCAAATAATTCGGCAGATCATATAATAGAATTTTTATAATGTGATTGTCAAATATTTTTATGAAAAACGGTGCATTGAATAGAAAGAACTATGATTTGACTTTTTAAACATAAATTTTTTGTTGTCGCAATATTTTCCAAAAAAAAGTGATCTGCCGTATTCTAATGTGTGATCTGCCAAATATTTCGGCAGATCATAATGCAACCGGCAGAGCAGATTGGCAGAGCAGATCATTGTCATTGTAACAATAATAACGGCAGAGCAGATTATCACAGACAAACATTGAGCCGTTTTCTATTTTGTGATCTGCAAAATTATATTTTGATAATGCGTGATCTGCTAAATAATATTTGAATAATGTGTGATCTGCGAAATAATATTTGGCAGATCACACATTAGAAAACGGCTGATTGGATAATCTGCTCTACCGCTATTAACATTACAATGATCTGCTCTGCCAATCTGCTCTGCTCTGCCGATTGTACCTACCCTTTGGCTGAGCCGTATGTCCACTCTGAAACGGCTGTTTCAGAGTGGACATACGGCTTCTTGTTATTTTTTGAAAATAATTACTTAGGGGGTGTTACTAAAACTTTTATAACTTTTGAAATATTAAAGATAAATACGTTCTGTAAAAAAAATATGAACACCGATTAAATTTTTTATATTTTATCATTCTATATAACAATCCAAGGCTGCTATGATTTTTATATGAACGCGCAAAATGACGAACTTGGCAGAATTTCGAAATTTTAATGGTACTTTTTAGCAAAATAATTAGAAAAATTATATTTCTGTTGGCTAATATGTAATATATATATATATATATATATATATATATATATATATATATATATATATATATATATATATATATATATATATATATATATATATATATATATATATATATATATATATATATATATATATATATATATATATATATATATATATATATATATATATATATATAGTTAGACCAATTATAAAACATATTAACATTATTTACACCGAATGCGAACTGATACAGGCACTTCAATAGGCGAAATAAAAATTAGATTAGCAACAATATAAAAAACCACCAAAGTTTGCTTTATTTATACACTAAAACTTGTCTCGCTAAAAAAGCTGTTTTAAAAAATTTAATTACTTAGTAAATTGGGAAGTAACGCATTTAAAGTTACGTCATTGCTTTAAAATATAAACAAAAATTTTACGCATGTAACAACAAATTTTGTTGCTAAACCTGCCCAGGTTGAAGACGTTTTAGCTAGAAGTACAGAATGTAATTTTTTGATTTTCATGTACATAAAGGGTTGTAATTTCAATAATTTGGTGAACTTAACAAAAATATAACGTTTTTCATATAAAACAAGTAATAACAAAAATATAAATGCTAAAAAATCTAACTTTAAATTTTTTTTTATTAATGTTTACTAAATATCTGATAAAATAGACATTCGTTTATAAGTATGTAAAATTTCAACCATAAAGCATGTAGCTTGAAATATCAAATATTGATTGGCCCAAGACAGGTTTTCCGTAAAATACGCAAAAATCAGAAAAGTGATCCCAAATCATTATAATGATTTGGGATCACTTTTCTGATTTTTGCGTATTTTACGGAAATTAAATTACGGAAATTACGGAAATTAAATTACGGTTATTAAATTACGGAAATTTTTTTTTAAATAAACGCTTTTGTGTTCTAATAAAAAAAAATGAAGCATCTATCTTTCCTTGTTAAATAAATATTCTCATTAAACGGAATAAAAATAAAAGTTGTAAAAATATTGCTAATATTAGCAATATTTTTACAACTTTTATTTTTATTCCGTTTAATGAGAATATTTATTTAACAAGGAAAGATAGATGCTTCATTTTTTTTTTATTAGAACACAAAAGCGTTTATTTAAAAAAGAATCATTACTTTAAAGTTATTGAATTTTTATACTTTATATGCCGAAATCTTTAAAAAACTTTTTATGCGGAAATTATTTTTGCAAACTCGTGACTAATGCCCAATTTTACATTGTGTGAAACAGCCGTGGAGGGTGCACAAAAGACATTATCATCAGATGGCTATTGAGAGGGGGACCTAGTCAGCATTCAAACAAATAAAATTAGATCTAAATGTTCAAATGTTTTATAACCAAATAATAAAGATGCTGATGGAATTTTATCTTTTTACCATAGATCTGTGGTAAGCCGAAGATAGTAATTGAGGTTTTTTAGCTTTCAAAAAAGGCAGACCAGACAATATATTGATATAATGAGAATATGTAAGGGAGAGCTGCTACATCGACTGGTTTGGGTAGAACATACAGGGGGATGCTGCTACATCAACGGAGGGTTTTGGGAGGGGGGTATAAATCAGTCAATGTAGCAGCACAGGGGCAGACTGGAAGTATATCAGCCCAGGTGGAGATGAAATATACTGGCCCGAAAGTATAATAACATCTTTATTATCATTGGTGTATTTATAGCGATGCTGTTCCGCTTCCCCTTCTTACTAAACATTCAAGTTGCCTAACTTTTTCTAATTTAAATATTGTACCCCCACCTAAATAGTAGTATTAGTAAATTTTTTTAATTATTTGTAATATAAAATAAATGATAATACCAAGGAATTATCATTTATTTTATATTACAAACAATAGGCAAATAGTAAAATAATTTAATTTTTACTATAATATATGAGAAAAATTAAGAAAAAATT